ACCTTTTACTGCTAAATTTAATCGACTGAAAATCAAATTTAATAACTGAAAATTTAACAGAAATGTAACCATTGGCATTATAGTGATCACATTAACTAAATGAAACTAAAATACACCTCTGATATTGTAAGTTTAGCTACAATTTTGCTTATAATTTATTCCACGTATGAAAAGTAGAAAACAGTGATCTGAAAACCATTCCCACCTCTTTCCGTCTAAAGATACTGCTTCTTCTGTTCTTTGAGGTAAAAAGACTATAATTTCTAGAATGTATTCTGTTTGTGTCACAGTGGGATGTTCATCTTTCCTCAACAATGCTTGATCTCTTAATACCTTCACTGACAACCTCAGTGGACAGCCTTCCTAGGCATTGCTCCATAAGTGAAGAGTTTTCAAGAGAACATCAGTAAAACCACTGGTTTCTAAAGAGTCATTTTCTCATTATTTAACTTTTTAAGCCTTCTTGCTATTGAATGAAACATGATTAGCAGTAGAGCTGCAAACTAATCTGTAGTTAAGAAGAATGCACAGGCAGGACCAGCAAAGCTCAGAGAGCATCTTTGAATGGTTAACAGCATAAAAGTAAAGACAGCCCTTAGCATAGCTGAGTGACATACCGAGTGATGCCAGCCCTAGTGTTTTCAATACTTTTCCATTCTTCATATCCCGGAATGAAAGGTCCTGTATGACCCACATTCTCATATTTTCTCTCAATTTTTTTGATGCTCTGGAGCATCAACCGTGGGGAGACAGCCCCTGGGGGCAATTCCTAGAGACTGTAGAGGACTTGTCTGCAAGCACCCCTTTCATAGGCGAACCAACCAATCCAGAACCTTTACTCCCCAAATACCTCCTTAACTGAAATTTCAAATACCAAGCCACCACCCACCCTGCTGCCCCCCCCCGCCCCAGTCACCTCAGGACTAGGCAAAAGACAGTTCAGAACAACCCAAACACCCCAGAGCCTGCTGGGATTATTCAAACTAGCCAATCCTAAACCTGCTTACCTTGCCTCGCTCATTCTCTCCCACGGAAAATAAATAAAAGTTTTCACCCATGCTTTCCCCTTGCCTTCCCTCACCTACTGACAGACCCCAGTGCTTACAGTGTGGAAGAGCAGGGCATGCCCAGCCTCCAGCTTCTAAAGACCTGTGAGTATAAACACTCCTTCCTTCACCGTAGTCCTTTTCAAGTCTACGTGTCTTACCATAAAACAAATTAAAACAACTCTTGGGCACATTTTAAAACAGGTTCCAGATAATGTAGTGCTCTCTCACCTCCATCCTTTCCATTTCCCGATACCTCTCTATTCCCCAAATTAGGTCAAAGTATGTTTTGTCGAACACTGTGTGTAGATTTGAAGCCCAAGAGATGTATAAAGAGAAGATGATTGCTCTCTTTGTTACTCTGTTTGTGGATCTTATTTGTGCCATTGAGAAAGCTCTCCCATAAAACTCAGCCCAAACAGTGATTCTGGAACCATGCTTTCTGGGGCTTTATGACCTAAATTTAATTTCTTACATTGAAATTTGATTATAGCCCTGGTCTCTGTATTAGTTCCAACCATTTTTTTTTTTTTATTGCACTGGCTTTTAACTGATTTTAAGGTGCTAAAAACAAATGCAAACTGATTAAATAACCAAGGCATTAATTTGGTGGTAATCAATAGTCGTCATATTTACGTATTTGCCTCACATGGCCTGATGCATGTGGCATATTGTGACGTCGTATATTTTGACTAAATGATTAACTTCCAGTCTGCCTGAGACATCATTTCACTCTCCTCATACCTTGTGCCCAATTGACTCTGCTGCTCAATTTCTTCTATTGGATTTCTAGGGCCCCAAGGCTCAGCCCATTTTATTTGTGCAACTAAACACTGTTCTTTTAGGGTTACATTTAATTAAACCAGTATTTAAGAGAAATATTTCACTTCCTAGGTCTAAACCATCCTTTGCTAGTATAATTACTTCATAAAAATCACACTGTGGCAAGATAGGGGAAAAACAGATGCTATTATGGAATCACTCTCTGAAAGCTGGAAAACGAAATCATCAGGAAGCAGCTGTCATTTTTTTGCCTTGTTTCTACTTAATAAACTGATACCTCAAATATATCAACAAAATACCATCCACAGTAGATGCCCAAGTCTCCTGCATTTTTATTTTGCTGAGAGAAAACAGCTTCTGAACCATATATGTGTGTAGGTGTGTTGTATGTGTATATGCATGTATGTGTGTATGTGTATTCATGTGCGCATCAATGAGTGTGTGTGGACATGTGTTATGTCGGGGGCACTATCATCAATTAAGCTCCTCCTACACACAAGGCAGTGTGCTTCACCACCACGCATTTGCTCTCTTATTTATTCTTACAATTCTAGTAAATATTATTATTCTTACAATTATAGCCCTGTGCAATGAGTTTTCAACATTAAATATTCTCAGTAATATAAAGATTAATAAGAATGGATGTTTATGTTTTATATGTGGGTAGAGAACTTAACTGCTGAAATGAAAAAAGTTTTAGAAACTCGACTTACTTTATAAGAAAGTTAACATTTCTGTGCCAGGCCCTGAGTTGAGAATTTTATATATATTTTCTCATCTGAGCCTTTCAACAACTAATGAGATGGGGTTTGTTATTCTATTATTATTGTTGAGGAGAATCAGGCTTCCAAGAGGTAAAATGATGTTTTACATTTATGTAACTCTATTCTGTATTTTTTGTCAAGGGATATCCAGATGGTGAAGTAGACAATATTTTAAGATCTTAACTGAGGTTCCTTTTTGTGAATTTTCTTGATTTGCCTGTGGCTTTCCTCTCAGTGGTTTTGTGGGACTCATGGCTTCAGCAGAGTGAGCAGACATAGAATTCCAGACCTCACAGAGAAGCCCTAAGCCACGGCCAACATGGGGCCTGAGCAGTAAAAAGCAATCATCCAGGCCAAGACTTCCCAAGCAACTTTTTTAATACAAATAAAATAATATAAATGAATTATGAGGTATATGAAATAGAAAATCCAAATGTATCAAAAATACAAGCCTTAAGTTTTAATTATTAAATTCAGATTTCTACAAAAGTTTCTGAATATTTACTCTCCATTCCTGTACTGATCTCATTGATAACTAGCCACAGTAATTTAAATAGTTTATATACTAGTATCATGTCCATATAACACCCTTTTTATAGCCCTTGTCCAGGCGATGGGCCTTAGTGTAGCCCCTATTCAGGGTTCTATCCACCTTAGTTTGGGGTGGGGACGAGTCATGGATTCCTGGTCCCTAAGAAGGCAGAAAAGTATTTAAAAGAATGATAGACTAAAGAACCCTGTGATTGGGTCAGGAAGGACAGGGAGCATGGATTATACAACTGGAAGCTAAAGTAGGACAACAACCATCCGTGGAAGATGAAGTGGAGGCAGAAGTCCGTCGCCAAGACCTGATGAGGTGAGTCGCACCTCAGCGAAGGCCTCTGAGGGCAGGAGATCACCACGGACAAGAAACGCACACTTCAAATGCACCACCATTCCCTTAGCTAAGCCTCCATAAGCCCAGATTTCTTTCAAAAAGAAAGGAAGAAGGGGATAAAGAATCTTGAATGGCTGAGTAGTAAGTCTTCCAAAAGACTGAGTTTAAAACCAGAGGTGACTGACTTACCTGGAACTGGCAAGATTCAGTTTTCTATTATTGAAGAGAAAGAGGGTACTGTACAGGAAAACAAATGCAATTCCAGGTATTTTTTAATTATATTTCTGAAACTTGAGTATGCATTTTGTAAAACATCATATCTTTTACATAGAATTACATTTTAACAGCAGACTATCTTCTGATCTAGGAAAGTGAATTTTTTCTAGAATTCACTTACTTATTTTGAGACAGGGAGAAACAGCACGAGTGGAGGAGGGGCAGAGGGAGAGGGAGAGAGGGAAAGAGAGAAGCTCCAGCAGGCTCTGCACTACCAGGGTAGAGCCCAATGAGGGGCTCAAACCCACAAACCAGAGATCATGACCTGAGCCAAGTTGGATGCTTAACTAACTGAGCCACCAAGGCTCCCCTAGAAAAGTGAATTTTTTACAGAAGAATGTCTACTAAGAATCACAAGTCACCAGGAGAGACATTTTTTTTTAAATAGGGAATTTTAATCTTGTAAATCACAGTGTCACAGAGAGTCACCTATCCATATGTCCGACCCTTTTGAGAAGTTCTGCTGTGCCCCACAGAAATCATTGGCAGATCTGTAATACCCACTGTAGGGCTTCACATTTTAGGAGTCATTTAATATTCCGTGTGTATAACTGAGAATTAAGTGTGATACTGTTAAATATCTGAGTGGTAAGTAGTCTGTCTAGATGGGAACGGAAATTGCTCTTTCAGTCAGGTGTTGAACTACGGCATCGGCATGTTGCTGAGACCCTCACTGTCTTGTCTCAGTGTCGCAGCCATGCCCCCCAGCCCTGGTTCCTCACCTACTCTGCGTGGCAATGATAGTGAGTATCCAAACTTCTTAGCCACCAGCTTTCTTTTTTTTTTTTTTTTCAAATAAAACTGAGTACAGAATTTATAAAACAGAGACAAGAGGTAAGGAATGAAAACACACCCACTAGTAACCTCCTTCTCATGTCAGTCCCTGAGGCTAGGCAGAACCCTGGATCTCTGAAGAACAAATTTGGAAACGAGTTCAGGGGCTCCACCTACACAGATGCCTACCTCCTCTCCGGGGAAAATTAAACCAGGGGCTTTACCCAGCTGTGGACTTCCCTCATATTTAAAGTGGTCAGCAGTCAGGAGAGACTTTGGTGGGAAAAGTTTCGGCTGTTTAACAACAGCTGATGAAGAAAATGTCTTAGCTCTGAAGACACGGCCTGTGTGATATTGCAGATTGGGGCTCAACATAAAGCCACTGCTATGTGGCCATATCATTGGACTGGAATGAAAGATGTGGTTGGTTTTATGCATTACGACTTGATAATAAGGCACTGCCTTAAGGCAAAAACTTACAAGTCCTGGGTTCCTGTCTTCACTTGTTGACACTGACTTAGCTAAATGACATCACCAACATGTTTTTAGTCCCGTATTTTCACTGCATATATCCAGATTTACTATTTTCATTTCTTGTGATGACATCTTGTGACAACATCTGAAACAAGTTTTGAAAAGTAATGATATGAATATTTTATGCTGTCTTCCACTTCCCGTACTTTAATCTCCATATTGAGGGTACAGTTTCTTCCATGAATCATCCTCCTAACTTTCTGTTTGGTTGTACAACGACATATGGTAGCTATTATCACAATCAATAGCAAAAATAACTAAAAAATGTTCAATTTTAAACATGACCACTTTCTTAAACTATTGATTTAGAAAGATACTTTTCAGACAACATATTTATACTTTATTTAAAGTCATAAAAATAAGCCATTATTAAATTCATTCTTTGCCTTCTCATTGTTTTAAATATACATTAATTGAACACTTACCTTATATGATGCCCTGTTTTGAGATAACCAAAATGAATGAGCAATGATTGAACTGAGCTATCTACAGTTTAGTAGCATTGTCAGAGATTTAGAAAAGAGTGGAGTGCACACGTCTCTCTTCCTAACAGAACCTTGAGACTCTCAGGCATGCATTTTGGTTGTAATTGACCTCAGCTCTATTCCAAGGACAGCCTCTGATTGGCTTAAGCCATTAAGCATAATCCCATTCTCTTGACCTAGTCCCAGAATGAAAGAAACAGTCTAATTTGATCCAATCAGAGTGAAGCCCTGTTTGGAGCTTTTTACAGGGAGAGGGAAAGGGAAGCTTTCTCTTCCTGAAGACTACAGTGATGGCAGGTATGACAGATTGTATTATCACCATGAGAGAAGCAGCTGGAGGACAAAACCTAGAACAGAGCTGAGAGAACCTAAAGAAACAGAATCAGAGCCATGATCAAACCAATATAGGTTTTTATTGTATGGACAACAGATTATCTGGGCTTTCTGTCACTTTCTACAAAGGCACTCCAACTAAAACAATGTCAGTATCAACCTCAGGGAAGGTGAGAAGTCATTAAAACTATAGTCAGAAGATTCCAGGGGTGCCTGGGTGGCTCAGTAGGTTAAGTGTCTGACTTCGGCTCAGGTCCTGATCTCACAGTTCATGGGTTCGAGCCCCATGTTGGGCTCTATGCTGACAGCTAGCTCAGACCCTGGTGCCTGTCTTCAGATTCTGTATCTCCTGCCTGCTTTGTCTCTCAAAAAAAAAAAAAAAATTTTTTTCTAAAACAATTTTACTCCTTTTGATGACATCTAAAATTGAGCTGATATTTGTCAGCAGTTCTAAGTGATAAATTTTTCTCTAAAAAAGCACAAATATTCCAATATCTTTTCAAAAAGTTGACGTCTGTAAGGAATTAACTTTAGATATCTATGGTGTTCTTAGATACCACCTTATCTTTAGATAAATGTTTTATTAAAGTTCCTCCTTAACTTTTGAAATAGTTAAATATGGTTCTGGAGTTTGAAATCATGTGAATCAACTAGAAACCTTGTGAAAAGAAAACAAATCACTGCATATTTACAGTGATCCTTGTTATTCACCATCGCCCACCATCAACAAGGCCATCCCACCTCTAGCAATCTATGATTTTAAGTATCTGTTAGGCAGCTACTCTGGACTTGACATTGTGTGAAGCTCTGTGAATTTCAAACATTTCAGTGAAATCTGTAGAATACTAAACATCTCAGCCATGACCCATGTGAAGCTTACTAAAAATAACTGGTTGTTTTCTTTAAGTAAAATTAAAAGTTGAGTTTAAGATATAAGTTTGGTTTACTCTGAGTCTATTGGTATGAAAAAAAATCATTAAAAAAAACCCCTCTTTTCTACTTTAAAATATTCACCCATGAAACAATGACTTTATCACTTTCTTTCTTTCTTTTTTTAAGGTGAAAATTTAACTTTATTTACAAATGCTCTCCTATAAACAAAGATGCCATTCTATCACTTTAAACTATTATAACTGATAATTTCCAGAAAATCCATTTACATAATCTTAATCTTCCCGCACATCACTCTCGTAGAGAGAATTGGCCAGAGACATTGTATAAACACTAGGTGGCACTATAGTTTGAAATAACACTCAAATAAAAGAAGCTATTTATGAGAAATGGTAAAACAGAAGAAAACCAAGAGTATAATAAATCCATATTTAAGAAAAGATTAAACACTCAAGTCTTTTAGTGCTTAATAGAGAAAATGAATTAACCTTATGCAATTAATAAATTAAATCAATAAATTAACTTATATAACTTGTCTAATAAAAAAGCTAAGCTTTTTTCTCCAGTTGAAATAAGGCCACTCCTCACTGGAAGGCAGTAACTAATTAAACCAGTCATAATTATTCAAAAATAGTTTTGTTTTTCCAGATGAAGTCTAAATTTAGGCTCCAGCTTATCCACCAAATTTTACAAATATTTTTTTCTCAGAAAACAAAAACAAAATATCTACTGGCATTCCTTAGTGAAAGAATAGGTTGCATAAAAAGTTAAGTGTACAGTTTATTTCTTTCTTCTATTTAGAGCACAGGCACACAGGTAGTTTATATCCAATAAACACAGTAAATCATAACTTTAATGAATTTAGGATATATGCCTGAAGTATCAAGTTACTTTTATATACTGTTAAATACAGATAAATATATAAATTTATATTAAATATAAATATATGTGCAGTATTTTATTGATCATGCATAGTCTCTTAACCAGATAGGGGAGGGGGTTACTGAATGGATGATGAGTACTCAGGGCACTTGTTGGGATGAGCACTGGGTGTTATATATAAGTGATGAATCAATAATTCTACTCCTGAAACCAATATTATACTATATGTTAACTAACTTGAATTTAAATAAAATCCTGAAGTTAAAAAATCCTGGAGGAGCACATAGGAGCTACTGGCCCCCTGAGCGAGTAGTCCATTGGGCTCTACCTTGTCTTAGACCTTGAGCCATCCAGAGATCTTGGTTAGTTTTCAAACTCATGTCTTCTGTCCTTCAGACCAGTCTACTTCTATGATATCAAGCAGTGGAGAACTCCTTCCCAAAGTCAAACAGTAAAGCCTAAGAGTGAAATAAAATTGATTTTTAAAAATATCATCTGAATATTTGATTTCATGGGCCAAAGACTTTGTAGACTTAAAATGTAAGCTTATTTTTGTCCCATTTCAGAGGGGGGGAAAGTGCTCTCTATTTCGATGGGTCAGTTTGTACTTTCTAAATGTTCTCTGCGAGGCTCCATTCTCTCTTATGGAAAATGGTTCTGTCAGGTCACTAGGAAGAGATGTTTTCAAAGTAATTAAGCAGGTTCTGTTAGGGATTTCTCAATAGTGCTTGTCTTTACTCACAAAATATTGCTATTATGGCTGAATAAGCTTAAATGACATCTGCTATCTAAGGCAGGAATATCATTTTCATAACGAAAAGAGGCCAAAATAATTAAGAATGAGATTTATAAAATTTGGACTAATACCATGTTACTTTATTTTATTAATTTAAGAAATGAAAATATTATATCTTTGGAGCCAGAAACTTGAATTATAAACAATGAAAAAGAATATAGGATGTCTAGAGTGGCCAAAAATCAGAAACACATACTGAACCCTCCTATTTTTAAGGAACAATATTAAGGATCATGTAACAAGATTCATAAAAGAAAATCCCAGTCTTTTAAGGAGCTTATAATTTTGGAGAGAAAAATCTATAAGCACTCATAAAGTTAATTAACAATAAAAAATATAAATAACAGTTCAAGACAGAGATAGATACGAAACTAAAGGTAATACCTAAGACTTCTTACACGAATGGTACAAATACAAAAGTGTAAAAGTAGTTCAGAGATGAATATATTTATTAGTTCCGGTATAGACAAAGCTACTGTAGGAGAGTGAGAGTGAGACCTAAAACTTTAGGGGCTCAAACTACACAGACATTTAGAGGAAAGGTGGTCAGGGCAGATATATATCTTGGCTCCACCGGATCATCTGGGAACCTCAAAACCCCCTTCTACTTAGTTGTTTCACTGCCTTTCAGGGTATTGTATTGTATTGGATAGAGTGAGGTTAGCATCCAGGGTAGATAAAATAAGCATCTTAATGCCACCACACAGTCATTTCTCACCTACATAAAGTCTGGAGGGTGACCAGAGTGATAGCAGGGAAGGTAGGACATCTGCTCCATGAAGACATTTAAAGACCTAGGTTGACTGAGGCTCTTCTGTCATTGGCAGCATGGTCCTGGGCATAGATATCCAGTACTGATTGCTTATGAAAATGAAAATGTTCCGGGCGCCTAGGTGGCTCAGTCAGTTGAGCGTCCGACTTCAGCTCAGGTTATGATCTCACAATTCATGGGTTCGCATCGGGCTCTGTGCTGACAGCTGGCTCAGACCCTGGAGACTGCCTTCGGATTCTGTGTCTCCCTCTCTCTCTGACTCTCCCCTGCTCACACTGTCTCTCTCTATCAGAAATAAATAAATCATTATAAAAATCTTTTTAAAAAGAAAATGAGAAGGCTCAAAAGGGTTTTTATCTTATATATTTTTTTAATTTTTTGATTTCTTTGACAATAGAAATCTCTCAAAACCAAAGTAAGCTTCTAACCTATTTATTCTCTTCAGTTCTTGTGGTAGGCAAAATTCTAAGACTGTCCTCCAAATTCTTATCCCTCTGTGTACATGCCTTATTTACTATATATAGTATATAATGCCACCTTGACTTTGGGCACACCTGTGAATATGATGGGACATCACTTCCATGATTCAGGTACCAATCAAATAACTGAGTTAATCAAAAGGGAGAGTATCTGAATGGGCCTAACCTAATCAGGTGAGCCTTTAAAAAGAAGTGGGCCATTCCTGAAGTCAGAGATGCATGTGAGGGAGATTCTGTTGCTGGCTTTGAAGATAGAGGGAGCTATATGTCAAGAACTTGAAAGCATCCTCTAGAAGTGGAAAGCAACTCCCAGATGACATTCAATAAGGAAATGGTGGCCTTAGTTTTATAACCTGAAGAAATTGAACTCTGCCAACAACCAGTAATTTTGGAAATGGACCTTAAATCTCAGATGAGAACACAGTCCCAGTCAGTACTTTAAATTCAGCCATGTGAGACTTGAGCAGAAGATTCAACTATGCTATGACCAGACCTTTAACCTATGGAACAGTGACATGATGTTTTAAGTTGCTAAATTTGTGGTAATTTGTTAGGCAGCAATAGAGAGCTAATATAATTCCAAAGTTGCTAGACATAATTCTCAAGCCCAATTTCTTTCTTTCTTTCTTCCTTATACTCACTCTTTACTCCTCAATTCAAAGTATCTTCCTTGAGGCCACCAGACTTGGGAAAAAGGGCCACAGATGGGATCTTGTTACTTAAAATTTGCTTCTTCTTTTTGAAGCTGTCTTAGTCAGTTCAGGCTGCTGTAACAAAGTACTATAGACTGGGCATCAACAACATAAATTTGTTTTTTCTCACAGTTCGAGAAGGTGGGAATCCCAGATCATGAGATCGTGGTGCCAGTATGGTCAGATTCTAGTGAAAGCTTGCTTCCAGGTTTGCAGCCGGCTATTTTCCATTGTCTCCTCACATGGCAGAGAACAGAGACAGGAAAGAAGCTCTCTTGTGTCTCTTTAAATATAGACATCATTCCCATTCCTGAGCGCTCTGCCTTCATAACCCAGTTACCTCCTTACTTCCAAATACTATTGCACTGGAGATTGATTTGGCATACAAACTAGGGGAATGGAAGGGGAATAGAGAGGATGGGCACAAATATTCAGTCCACAACAGGGGCCTAGAGGCAGTGGGTATTTCCAACCGCTCTAAATCCTAAATTTCTGGACTGACTCTAGTCCCCATCCTTTCTCTTACAAACCAACTAATTCTTATGTTCTTCTCTTTCTCATAAAACTTGCTAAATGAAACCAGGTACAATCACACACACTACTAATATTCTGTTTTCCAACTATGTTTGAAAATCTGAATAAAAAGGATAATTTTCCAAGAAAAACATATATTATAAAGATTTGTCCATAAAAAGGACAACAACTTGTACAAACAAATAGTAGAACAAAATGACAGTTTTGAAAAAAAAATAACCTTGTAAACATTGGCTCAGATAAGGTTTTTTGGTCCAATTTCAATAAAACCCATAGAAGCAATTACTCTCATACTATTTATATAATTCTAGAGTGAAGAGAAAAAAACCCTCATTTTTCAAAGTAAGCTATTATAATTTTGAATCTCAGACCTGACAAAGATAGACTATAGATAGAATTTACACCAATTTCACTTTTGAATAGTATGTACAATCCAAAAAACCTGGCAAAATATATATACATTTTAATGTATATGTAAAAATCCTACCACATTAGCAAAGAATCCTGCAATACAACAAAAGAATAAAATTCCATCACCACAAGAGGGATATTAAAGTATTGTGAGCATTATTCAATATTAGCATTGGTTAGCAAGATGAAAATACATGCCATTATACAAATAGACCAAAAAAGAAAAATCAGATCTTGATAGACTTTTAAAAAGATGTTTTGCAAAATTTAACATTTATTTCCTTTTTTTTTTTTT